ATTTTAGTAGATGGCACAAGAGATGCTGAGTTTTTAGAGCAGTGCCCATTATAGTATTTGTAGAAAAGAGAAAGAGAAGCAACATTACAACAATGTGACAAAGGTTGAAGGTTGGTTGCAAGAGCAGGTCCAACTATGTTTACAATGCGTTTTTGCACCTTGTCTAAAAGAGAAAGGATATCATTAGAAGATTCGCCCCAGATATGGTAACAGTATTCCATACAAGGCTGGATTTGAGATTTATAGAGATAGAGAATAGAATCCAGTGTAAGAAAGTGTTGAGCTCGATAAAGAGATGCAACTTTAGCAGATGCTAATTTTGCAACGGATTTGATATAAGGTTTCCAAGAAAGATCAGAAGTAAGAGTTAATCCTAGAAGATGAAGAGTAGATGACTCATTGAGTACGATACCGTTCATAAATGTAGGAAGGTCTAAATTATTGCGATAACGATTGGCTGAAAAAAGTTGAGTTTTATCTGAATTAAAGTTCACCAGCCACTGTGAGCCCCATGCTGTAGCAGAAGTGAGATCCTTTTCAAGCTCAAATATCCCCTGCAAGCAATCAGAGGGAGTTAACTTCTTATCGTGACAAGAATAAATGGTAGTATCATCAGCAAACAATGCCACCTTAGATGTAAGAATATCTGGAAGATCATTAATGTAAATTAAAAAGAGTATAGAGCCAAGGATTGAACCTTGAGGAACTCCTGAGGTTACAGAATAAGAAGAACAGTGCTGTCCATCAAGGACAACTTTTATACTAAGATTGGAAAAGAAGGCTTGAGTAATCTTAAAGATTTTTTCAGATACACCCTAAAAATAACTTATGGAGAAGATCAGCAACTTTATCAATCACTTTAGAAATGTCAAGAGCGATGGCCTTAACCTCTCCACCTTTATCTAATACACAATAAAACCTATCGGTTATTACTGTTAGCAAATCAATCGTAGAACAAGAAGATCGAAATCCATATTGATAATCAGAAAGTAAGTTATTAGATTCAAGATGAGAGATTAAGTGTTTATTAATTAAAGATTCAAAAACCTTGCTTATGATAGGAAGAAGACTAATGGGAAAGTAGTTAGACAAATCAGATTGCTCTCCAGAATTTTTTAAAATAGGCATAACAAATGCTGCTTTCCAGCAGGCTGGAAAACAAGACTCTGATAACCCCTTGTTGAATAGTTTTGAAAGGATAGACAGCTACTCTGGAGAACACAGTCTAAGCAGGAAATCACTTTAGATACAGAAACTGGAGTGATAGGGATGTCAAGTAATGGATCAACCTGTTTGACCGCTGTATCAGATAGAACGCAACTATTGGAACCAAGAGATAATATTGATGAAAAGTTCTTAGCAAACAATTCAGCTTTGCCTTTAGGTGAGGTGACAAAGTCTGAACCATACAAAAGAGGTGGAATTACAGAATTGACCTTATTATTGATACTATTAAAGATTCTCCAGAAGTCACAATAGCCTAATTTTTGTGATGAAATACGAGATTTCATGATCTGAGAATAGCAGGCTTTGGCGTTAGAGAAAACCTTTTTACAATGGTTCCTAGCAGTAATAAACAGACGTCTGTTTTTTAGAGAATTGTTTTGCTGATAGATATGGAAGTAATGGTTTTGATTGGCAATCGCAGCAGCACAATGTGAGGAAAACCATGGAGAAGATGGAGCCTTGACCTGGAATTGTCGATAGGGAATAAAGGATTCCATGCAAACCTGAATCCATAAAGTTATGTAAGAAGCACATTTGTCAACAGGAAGACAAAAGATTTCTACCCAAGGGGCATCAGGAAGAAAATCACAGAAAGAGTCCCAGTCAGCTTTAAGGTAGTTGTAAAATGTACGATGATAGGGGGATTCTGATGATAAAGAAGAATGAGATAATAGTTTTTATATCAAGCTGTGATCAGAGGCACCTAAGGGTGAATGTGGAGAAACTGAGCACTGACTAGGATCAGAAACAAGACATAAGTTGAATAGAGAAGGTGAATGATTCGGGTTGTCTGCAAAGCGAGTTGGAAAGTTGACTATTTGAGTTAGGGATTGAGAAAGGCAAAAGTTGTGGGCTTTAATGCCTGCAGAGTCACTGACACTAGAGCCAAGCCATTCAGTGTGATGAACATTAAAGTCACCGCAAACAACAATATTGGCTGATGGATAAAGATAGAGGGCTTGGTCAATATGATCAGAAATACTATCAAGAAGAGTGCAGTCTTGAGATGAAGGAGAGTGATATAGAACAAAGAGAAAGATGATAGAGTGAAGTGATGCTAAACAAAAGCTCATAAAAGAGTAGTCTGTGGATTCAAACCTAGTTTCCTAACAAATGGGTGAATTCTTACAAATATAAAAGCCCAGGCTAAGCATGTGACTATTTGTAAAAAACTTTTGTATTTGTAAAAAAAGTTTTTTTTACAAATACAAATAGTTTTTTAATAAAATAATTTTTTTTTTATAATAGTTTATTCACGTAGATATTTTTATAGGTTTTCTATTTTTAATATTTAATTTTTTTTAGCAAGAATCATCAAATCATTAACTTATGTAGTTGGTGGAAAAATGGTGGCAAACATTAAAAAACTAGATAAAGAGTTTCGTGTTTTTTTAAAAATTCATCCAAATGTTTATTCAAAAAAGTTGCACAATGTAATTCATTTAGTTGTAGGTTCTAGTAAAAAAAGTCGCGGTAAAGAGGTTTTAGGTGTATGGTTTTCAGATGCGGGTGATGGCAGATTGAATATCACTGTACCAACAACTAAAAAATATTTTATTACTGATCCTCAACCAATAAATTCATATTGTACAATAGATATTCTTCAGCAATACGAAGAAAGAAAATACATATACACTATTAAAATAAATGCAGAAAATGTTTACTCTGAACAGAATCCACTGCCCAAATGGTTCAACAATGTTCAGGTGTATGCCTCAAACCCATGGGACTTAGTCCAAGACACATACATAGAGGGAATGTTTATAATCAATGGAAAGAAAGGTTCAAATTTTTTATCAAAATTTATAAAACAATATTTTTATGTTGATATATTAGATTTATGTCATTAAAAAATTATACCTTTTAATTTTTATTTTTTTTTTTTTTTTTTTTTTGTAAGCTATCTTTAAGAAGAAACTAGCTGAACAAGTTTATTCCAAATACTTAAAAATTTCATTTAAAATTCATTTAAGATTTAAAGTTTTATATTTCATTTAAAATTTTCAAGTTTCATAAGATTTTGTAAGGTTTTTAAATCTAATTCTTTAAAAAAAAAATTTTTAATGCAAATATAACAAGGTGTTTGTAAGTTATCTTTTTAATGCATATATAATAAAGAGTTTGTAAGGTAAAATTTTAATGGAAATTTAATAAGGTGCTTTTATTATTAATTTTGTTTTTAAACAGAAAATTAATATAGTTAATGCTTTTAATAACTGCTGAAATTATAAAATGAATGATAATCCAAAACTTTGTCTTTTTTTATTTCAGATCAACCAAGCATGATTGATCTTGTCATCAGTCCAACAGGTATGAAGATTCGTTCAGTATGATTTTACTAAGATTTAAATTATCACAAATAAAATATAATTTTATTGATTATCAATAATAAGTATATATTGAAATAATGATTGTTTAAAAACATTCTTTTTAGATAAAGTTGCTCAACTATCAGAAAAAGAGCTCTGTGAAAATGAAGTTATTGGAACAATGAGCGTTTTAGAAAAAGCATACTCTGTATCTTTTAAACTGAAACCTTATTCATATTCTAGAGGATGGGAAAATGTTCTCCACGTAACCAAAGGTCAGAATTATGGGGAATGTGGTGACAGAAATCCTGCAGTGTTTTTTCATAAAGACGGTTCTGGGCGACTTGTATTTTTTTCGGCTATTAATGGCAATATTAACTCAGAGTTTGAAACAAAAAATCCACTTCCACTCAATGTATGGTCGAGTATTAAAATAGAACAAACTTTGAAAAATCGTTCTTATGTTTATGCTATTTATGTTAATGGTTCCATTCAATATGAAATAGAAAACAAAGATCCAAGGCAATTTAAAGATGTGAAAGTATATATTTCAGATCCGTGGTATACAGCACATGATGGTGATATTAAAGAATTGTTTGTTGTGAATGGAGGTTTAGTATAATTTTAATTTGTATAAATTTAAATGTTTAATAATTTAAATACTGAGGCTAAAATTGGGGATACTTAAGAATACAACCCTAAGAAAGTCATAAAAACAAACAGAAAAACAAACATACATACATAGATACACACATACATACATACATACATACATACATACATACATACATACATACATACATACATACATACATACATACATACATACATACATACATACATACATACATACATACATACATACATACATACATACATACATACATACATACATACTTACATACATACATACATACATACATACATACATACATACATACATACATACATACATACATACATACATACATACATACATACATACATACATACATACATACATACATACATACATACATACAATACAAAGTTACCATTTTATTAAAAAACAGTTTTGAAATACTTTCGATTTTGATGGTGGAAACTTGATCCCACATTTTTGTTACACTGTTTATTTTTCAAAACAAGAGTGAAGGACCTCAAAGAACGACCTTATGTTAGTACTACCATAAGTCTTTTAACTTGCTCTTAAAGTGTTTATAAAAATTAATTAAGGAATTGTGATTTTGTACTCTTTGCTCTTGAGCTGATGTAAGCAAGTTTTGAATTCTTTCACTGTTCTTCATTATACCTTTAACTTTAAGTTCTTTAGCAAGTTTATTTAAATGACTCATTGTAGTGCAGTTTATAACATTGTCCATATAAACTCTCACTTGAAATGGTTCATAGTCTTTTTTCAGTAAGACTAAAGTGCTTTGCCTTGAATTTTGAACAAAAAGAACGTCATTTTTGAGTATTGCTTTTTAAAATTAAAGTACCTGTACTCGTGAGCTCTTTCAACTTATTTTTCTTCTTACAATTTATGGAATGTTTAAAATAATTTAGATTGGTAAACGCAATTTTTTTTTCTTCTTACAATTTATGGAATGATTAAAATGTTTTAGATTGGTAAACCCAAAGTTTTTTTCTTCTTACAATTTATGGAATGATTAAAATGTTTTCGATTGGTAAACCCAAATTTTTCTTAAATTATTTAATGTTATTACAAGTATAATATTTTGTGCTTTATTTACACCAAATGATTTTTAAATGTTAATTTTTTCGTTTATTTTAGATACAAAAAGTACCTCTGATAAAACTCAACCATTGGGTAATTTTTTCTTATATTTTAAAGAGTCTTTTTTTTATATACACTCATAAGCCCAGTAAATAAATATATAAATGTGTAGCTAGATATAAATAAATATATTAATGTGTAACTAATTATAAAAAAATAGATAATACACTACCGAACATACACTAATTATTTGAATAGTCATATTTTTCTTTCTCCTTTTTATTACAAAAAAAACAACAAACTATTTTTAAATTGTTTAAATATAAAATAAACTATTTTAAAAATTGTAACATTATTTCAATTTTAGTGCACCAAATATTGTTAATAAAAATAATAAATGAAAGCTATAACAGCAGAGAAACAGCTGTGAAGTACAATAACATTTCATATTTTAATAATATTTTGTTTTGGATATAGACCTCTCTTGTACTGCATACACAAAGTTTGTAATAAACATTTTTTTTATTGTTACAAATTTACAGTAGAATTTACAGTATAAAATGAGTGATGATCTTGGTTATACTCGCGTTGTTTGGAAACACGAAATCACAAAATGTGGTTTACAAAAAAAAAGTACAAAAAAAACTCCGATTAGATTAATTTGTAATTTACTTGCATTTTAATCACCCTTAGCGACAGTAACCGCTATACATATTCTTGGCATTCTACTTAATGGCTTATCCAATTTGTCAAGGCCAATTTTATGCCACTAACTAATGAGTTTTTTCCACATCTTATGAATCATTAGGCATCAGTTTTTGACATTTTATTCATCATTTTATTTAATATTTGGTCGTTCTCAAACTCAGTCAAATAACTTAAACAATTTTTTGAAAAAAAATGTTTTATGATAAGCTTCAAGTCATTTTCTTCTGAAAAAATGAATATCTTCTCATTAAGCCATCTTTTCAAAAGTGTAGCATTATTTTTTACGTGTACAACACGTAAAAAATAATGCCACACTTTTGAAAAGATGGGTTAATGAGAACGTAATTACTTTGTCATTTCTTGCTTAACATTATACCCGCCATGTTTTACAGTATATCATAAATTCAACGATTTTATTTTCCAGAAAAACAATCTAATCTTGAAACCAAAGGTTTAAAACTTCGATACGTCGGTCCGCGTTCACAGTCATTGATGGTTCATTTTTTATGTAGTTTTTATTTAGTTTTGCCCACTTTTTTGTTATTCTTATGATTTTTATCAAAGTATTTTAACCAAAATACTTTTAAATTATCTAATAGTGCAAAATTAAACATAAAAAATAGTTAAATAAAAAATAGCATTTTTAAAAAAACCTAATGCCATTCGAATAATTATGAGCGTTAGTGTACATATATATACAGGTTTAGATTTATTTTTTTAAAGAAGGGGGGAGTTGATTTAAAATTGTTTTTACATGTTGATTTTTTTAACAATTTTAAGATAAATTTGAAGATGCCAATGAACAAAAGCTGCAAGAAAAGAATTTGATTGCAACCATAAACCTTTTGAGTACAACATTCACAGTTTCTTTCCAGATAAAACCAACTTCTTATTCGATAGGAAAGCATAGTGTTTTTCATTTTATGCAGGATAGGTATTTAACTCAACAAGCCAATAAAAAAATTTCAGCCTGGTTTCACGAGGATAGATCTGGAAGGTTAGTTATTGTAGCTGGTTTTTTAAATGACGTGAAAAAACTAACGGAGTTCACCACCAAAGATTCCCTCCCTTTAAACCAATGGTCATCTATTAAATTAACACGAACCAAAGCCATTTCTAAAGATAAAACTAGTTTTAACATCTACCTTAATGATATACGTATTTTCAATGTTGAAAAAGAAGCAGAAACTTTTGAATTTGTTAGAGTTTTCTTTGGTGATCCATGGAACAGTGTTCAAAATGGCTACATTAAAGAATTGAAAATATACAATAGTAAGTTTTATTTAAGCGTGTAGTTATTTAAAATTATTCAAATGTAGAAAATTTCATTTAATTTTTTTGACTTGATTATTATTTTTATTTTATTTTTCATTTAGACTAATTTTAAAAGTTGCAAAAACAACATCGTTGTCGAAGCTATTGAACAAGCTAATTTGCCGATGTCATTCAAAAAATAACTTTTTCTAATAATTTGCATAAATAATACGATTCAAAACGTGTTACCCTCCTGAAATATCAAAATAATAAATAAAAATAAAACGAAATATTTGCACTTTTATTTCCACTTACCTTCCGTAGCTGTTGGCTTTCATAATAGTCATTTGGGAACGGGCATTATCTATACAGGTTTAACAGATCACTTTCCAATATTCTTAACTCCTGATAACTTTAAAAAGATTCCCCCTAATATTATACAATCTTAAAAACAACAAATAAAAACTCTTTTTTATTAGAAAATGTTGAACTACTTTTAACACAGTTTTGTAAACGGTATGTCAGATATGACGTTTCTTGTAAATAAATAGTTGTAAATAATCTTATATAATTTAAGATAAAAATAAATAATCTTATATAAGTAAATAATCTTATATAATTTATTAATATAAAATTATATAATAATCGCCAAAAAAAAAAAAAAAAAAAAAACTTTTTTTATAAATATTTAAGGCATAAAACAAAACAAAAAATGAAATAAGTAACAAAAATTATAAGCTTATTCGAAAAAACAAAACATTCCGAAAAACCTAATGACGTGAATTTTTAAGGAAAAATCAAGGGGTTTTTTTTGAAAAATTTTTGAAAGTTTTTAGAAAAAACTAATTTGAAATTTTTGGGTTTTTAAAATATTTAAAAAGAATTATTATATATATATATATATATATATATATATATATATATATATATATATATATATATAATATATATATATATATATATATATATATATATATATATATATATATATTAATCTTCAGTTACAATAATTTACAAGACAGTGTAATAATGCTTCGTTACATAAGTTTTAATGTTATTAAGAAGACAGGAAGCGCGGGAATATATCCGCTAATATAATTTAACATAACAAGAAGCCATTGTTCGCGCAAGTGAGCGCGACACTTCCTATTTTTTAAGCTAAATGCTCTTCAGTGGTGCTCAGTGGTAAGACCTCAGAACTTCTGGGAACACCTAAATAGCCACAAATAAAAACCAATAACCAACAGAAAAAGATAATTGCATTTTTCTCTAACTTAATATTATCAATCTTTACCCGAGCCATTACATCAACAATACTGAATACAAATTATACTGTTTACAAATTATCGCACAAAATCAGCAAAAAAAAAAAGTGCTAGAGTTATTAACCATTGAAAAAGTTTTAGCTGTTTTTTAACAATAAAATGTAAAAGAAGAAATTTACATAGATTTATTTTGAAAACATCAAAAGATGTGAACTTGTAGGTCTATAAATATTGGAATCGCTATCCAAAGAAACAAAAAAAAAATGAATATCGGACTTTATCGATGGTCTAATAATTCTTTGTAAAACCGGCACACAAGTTAAAAACATTCAAATAATTGTTAACAAAGTTACATAATTTTTAATTAGAAAATATATATTTTAATTGCCTTATAAAAAAACCAAATTATGGTCTACTTTGCTTGAAAAGTAAATGCAAATCTCAAATATTTGTGCGGCCATGGCGCAGTGGTTAGATCCAGGTTCGAAACAAGCTCTAACCATATTATCGCGTCAAGGTAAGGACGGAGGCGTGAACTTTCGGGTTAAATGCTCTTCCGCGGTGCTCTGTGACAAGACCGTTAGGTCATCTTGAAGCATCTAAAAATAACAAAAAAAAAATAATAAAAGTAACTACGGTTCGCAAAGTTTAGTTTTAAATGCAACTCTAAATGACAAAACTGATGAAAATATAGCTGATGAAAAAACGTTATTATTGTTCTACGTGTAACAAGGAATGTATCCATATCAAAACTTTTATTCTTGGTCTTCACAATACTAAATAATGAAGCTTCAAAGTTAAGTATGCCATTATAGGCGTTTTTCTCCTACATTGCGTTTATTAAGGTGGTATCTAGCCATTAGTTCAATTTTTTTATATTTTACACATAATAAATACCTATGATGAATTACTAGCATAATAGATAAAAACCTAAAACGTAATGCAATTTTTTTTTTAATTAATAAAAAATAATTGCTGACTCAGCAAAAAAAGGTGAAAATGTTAACGTCACAAGAACATAAATATCTTAAGAATAAATCAATATTAAAGGTTTAAATTTTTTAGAAAGCTAGTACACTAGTGTAGCTAGTGCCTGAACCAAAAATTTTTGAAAAAAATTTAAACAATCAAAAATGGCAGACTTAATAATATAAAAAACTATTTTTAGCGATAAAACACTAATTAGATATGATAATTGTAGGTTAAGTTTAATTTTTTTTTAGTGTTTTTTCAGGTTCAGGCACTAAAAACATCAATAATGAACTTATCCTGAAAATTTGAAGCTAAAATAATGTTTTTTTATTGAGATATCATTGTTTTGCTACAGCTACCCGTTCAAAAAACAAAAATTGAGAAAAATCGATTTTAAAATTATAAATCATGTATACTACTCAGATAAATCATTAAAAACCACCAGCACAATAATCTTTTGCAGTTTCTTTATCTAATTTTTGTCCAAAATAGTTTCTTCTAACAGATCTTAATTTTTTTCTCTTTTTTTTTGTTTCATCTGACATTTTTTTGTTCATATTTTTTAGCCGTATAGAGTTTTTTTTACTTGCACCAATTTCAAAGTAACTACCAGATTTAATATTAAGAGCATCAAATACAGAAGATAAGTTAGCAAAACCATCATTATAAGTAATGGTTGCAGAGTAAACAGCCATTTCAACAACAACTATAGAGGTGAATATAGTTTTAGGGGATCGGTTCCAAATTAGTTGATTAAACGCTTCATTTCCATTTTGAGTCATGCCATGCAAACATTTTGCAAGCATATCAGTATTTGCTAGATCTTGAAATACTGGCTTGATCTTTTCCATAATGGCAATGGGTAAATTCACCTTTTTCTTGTATGTAACATGACCAGTTGCTCTATCAGACAGCCATTTACACCAGCTTTTTTCACCCTTAGTGCAAAACATATGACGATATTCTTCAGAGGTAAAATTAGTGCAATGATGAAGTGAAGCTATTACAGAGTTCCTCATTTCCAAAAGACTATTTGAATTTTGTCGAATAGCCATTCCAACATAATTTTGCAAGATGTTAATTACTTTATCCGTGAGACGACCTTTACCAGATATACCTTTTCCGTCAGATAGTTTAACCCGTCGTAATTCTTTTCTTTTAAGACGCAGTCGATTCCCTGTACGCTTCTGGTAATGCCCAATACATTCTAGTTTTATTGGAACAAGGTCATCACCATAAGGTTTTAGTGCAATAACTGTGCTAAATGAGGTAGTGTCTCCATCTCCAAGATATTTAGAATAGCGAATGTTATATTTATTTACTGAAGAGCAAAATATTTCTGTTGCACCAACTGACTCCATCGCACCAGCTGATTTAGTGTGGTTTACTTGGCAGGAATGATTAACTTTCCACTGCTCATATTTGAGTGTCCCTTTTTTTCCTTCCCAAATTTGACATCATTTACAAAACTTAGATAATGTAACAGTATCCAATACTTTGTTGTTGTCGTGAGACGTTGCTACCACAACACCGTTTAAAGAAGAATATCCTCTCCGCTGCCAGGTACCATCAATAGAAATACCACAATCAATAACATCATTCATATTAGAGTCAGGTTTCAGTATTCTCCTAACTTCCATAGCAGCATTTTTCATACTTTGCTCAGCAACTGATTTATAAGTATCGTAAAGTTTGCTTTTAATACAGTCAAAACTAGGTTTTGATAAAGGTGGTGGCATGTTCATTATGGAGGTAAAAGTTAACATTGCATCTCTGCCTCTGCCAATCTCCCTGAATGCCATAACACTGCGTACATTAATTTCACTAGTATTTATACCAAGTTTATTGTTTTTGACAACAGGAGAAGAAAAAAATGTTTAAAAGCACAACCACTGCAATAAATTTGAAAAAACAAAGAAAAACCCAATCAATCAATCAATATATATTTTCACTTTAATAATACTGTATATATACAATTGTGCGGGACATTTACAAACAGTTATAAACTGATGACGTGTAAAGACCTATAATGGTATAAATAATAACATAATAATAATAATTAATAATAATAATAAATAACAATAATAAATATTATTAACAATAATAGAAATAAATATTAATAATAATAATATTAATAATAATATTAATGCAGTAATATAAAACACTATAATCTATATATATTTTACTACTATAATCAAAATAAAACATTTATAGCAAATAGTGATTATCCTTAATAATAAAGCAAAATAAAAATATAAGAATCTTAATAATATCAATAACAAAAAAATAGAACAGATAAAAAGTAGGGAAAAAAAAAAATAGATGAAGAGAATTAGGCAGGGGTGATTGCATAGGAAAAAGTTTTTTGTATATTTATTAAATGTTAGATAGTTTAATAACAATGCCACAATCTTTAAGAGCCATTTACACTATATCGGATGATGAAAATAAGATATTTGATTGCGACTAGATGAACATTTATATATTTTTATGTTTTACTTTTAGAGTTTTGTATTTTTTATTTTTATTTTTAGAGTTTTATATTTTTATTTTAATTTTATGAGTTTTATATTTTTATTTCTATTTTATTGGTTTTATAAATTTATTTATGAGTTTTATACTTTTATTTTATTAAAAATTCAGCCACAAAGAATAACTAGGGGGTGATAGCATAAATGATAGTTTATTGATTATCTTTATTGAGGAGAAACTTTTTTACATGGGTTATGAAGGCATTTCTATTTGTCATTTTGGATAATACTATTTTAGTTTCAACAGGAAGAGAGTTCCAACAGTGAATTGATTGATACTTAATTGATTTTATGCCATACTTATGTGTTAGTTTTAAAGGCAAATATGTTATATGTTTTTACATCTTGAGATAATGAAAAATGAATAAGGAAATGATCTGATATATCGGTTTTGGTAATTCCTGCTTTTAAAGAGGTTTCTGAAAATTAATTTGATAATATATTGTCTAGTTATATTACTTTTTTTTTTTTTAATTGCATTCACTCCCAACAAGGCTGCAAGCAACCACTATCAAGT